AAAATAATGAAGATGATAATATCTATGATTAACACCCTCCACAATAAAAATGATTAATCAACCTCTCATAATTACAAAAAAATGAAAAAAATGAAAAATTATGATTGGTTGAATGCGGTTTGCACAGTTTGTACAAATTGAGTGGTTTGCATTTGATCACTCCCCTATATATATATATATATATAAATTTTTATGCATTGCAGTGGGTGAAAAGTATTGCATTAGGTTTTGTTAATTTATTTATATATAAATTAATCTAAATCGATTCGTAACCAAGTTGGTGATTCATGGATTGTTAAAAACGGAGTGTTATGGGATCCTTGTGTGTCGTATTTTATATTTAAATTAAAATGATGGAATTGGATTTGTATGAAAGACGCTAACCATTTCAAAGATTGGTTTCGGTTACAACACTTGTACTGAGTTACACGTGATATATTTTTTAAAAATGGTTGTACATTTTATTTATAATTATATACAAGCTTGCTTGACGTTTTTCAGTATTTTTATGTCCCATATGCATAAAACGTGTAAAATTTGTTGAGTATTTGTGTGGTAATGGAGGTGTATTACGGGTAGATATGTAACTAATAACACGAACAAGCTTTGTGAACTTGTCTAAACTGTAAGTGCGGAATTGCTGTATGAGTTCTCTAGGTAAAGTTGTGTGAGGTAAACATCTCTAATAATGTTGTTAGCTTTGTGAATTATGTTGTTTTGACCATACGTATGATAAAATTTATGATGCTTTGTGAACTTTATTTATTGATATTTTTATGTAGCATCCTGATTTTTTTTTGTTCCAGTTGAAAAAGAAGTATTGAACTGAGTGATCCAGTAAAGAAAATCTAATTATGGAGTTTGACTATAGTGCCATGAGATAGTAACATCTGTCACAATAGCACCGTTGGTACTAAAAGTATGGTCGTCTCGACTATTGTGCCATGCGGTTGTGACAACTGTCACAATAGCACCCATGGTAATGAGAGTATGGTCATCTCGACTATTGTGCCCGATGGTTACAAAACTTGTCATGGTAGCACCGGTTATTCCCCAGTGTTTGGTGGCCCCAACAATTATGTCATGCAATAGTGACACTGGCATAGTATAACAACCAGATCTTTGGTAAGGTGAAATCCCAAGTCCTATATGTGTTTCACCCTTAGAATAGTTAAGTATTTTAAAGTTTGATTATTTGGAGTACCATCTTTTAGGTAAAAAAATGGCTCAAACGGGTGAAAAGTGAGAAAAACCCTCGGTACAAGTCTGGTTATTGTGCCCGACGATTGTGCTAGTGGCACAAAGGAAGGGGGTCTCGGTACAATTCGGGCGATAGTGCCTGCTATAGTGCCATGGGCAAGATAGCATGGTAGGATCGCTAGACTTCCCCCGACACCAATAAGACCCGATTTTCAGCTTCATTCTTCATTTCACCCTAACTTCTTCACCTCAACTCTGCTTTGGACGATTCCTTTATGGATTCGTATTTTGAAACTATTCAAGATGGAAACAAAGTGGATTGAGGTTTTTTCGAAGTTTTGGGGTTCTTATAAGTCGAAAGGTAAGCCTCTATCCAACCGTCTCTTAACCTAAGCTTTGGTTCTTTTCACCCAACCCTCGTTTCATCTATTGGGTTTGTTTATGTATGTTTTGATAGTAAAGGAAGCGTTCTTGAGAAGCTATACATCTTAGATCTAAAGTCTAACTTAGGGTTTTCAAGTCTTCACCAAAGGAAGCTCAAGATTGGGGTAAAACCTAGATTTAGCCTAAATCTAGCAAAGTGGGTTCAAGTTACTTTGTGAAAACTATGTACATGCCAAAATGTCCATTTTGAAGTATTAACATGCTTTACTTGCTATTTATCAAATATGTTGAGTATTTGACGAAGTTTGCATATTTGGTTTTATAAATTATGTAAAATGTTTACATTTGGGTTTTTTGGACATTTAAATAAATTAATCACAAGAATGTGTTCTTTTGGTGATTTACTGTACAAATAAGATTTTTTTTTTACTTAAATGCATTTTGGTGTAGTTGGTTATAAACCGTTCCGAAATTGCATGTTATTGTGTCATGGGACGTTTTGGAAGTATAAGAGTATGACTTCATTTGGAAAATGGTCCGTCTCAATCAATGAGGTATTTTTGAGTTAATCATATCTTTGGAATATATGTTTGCATAAACGTTGGCTAAATGTGTCTTATTCCTTTTGATGACTTTTATTAAATAATCAATTATATTTTTGAGCTTCTGGCTCGGTTTTTACTCAAATGAGTCTTGAGGATATTTATCCGGTTTATATTGCTCTATGTCGAACCTTTGGGGTTATATGTAGTTATGGTATATTTATGTGATATATTGCACTTTTTTGGGTGCGTCGGTCTTTTAATTGGCGTTGTGTAATTTTTAGACTGTAATGCAATGGATCCATAGGCATAGGAGTCAGTTCATCCCTGTGTTGTTGCTTGAAATAAGCATTGGGTCTCAATAGGCAATCAGTTGTGGACTCTTGGAGTCGGACATCGGCCAATGACCATAAAATATAATTTCTAGCGTATTGTAGTTTGCAAATAGGCATTGGGTCTCAATAGGCAATAAGGTATGTACTCTTGAAGTAGGGTATCGGCCAATGACCATAAAATGTAATTTCTAGCATATTGTAGTTTGGAAATAGACCCTTGATCTTAATAGGCGATAAGGTGTGGACTCTTGAAGTTGTGCATCAACCAATGACCATATAGTGTAATTTCTAAGAGAATTAGCTTAACTAGAATCTTGGAGATCTCAAGGTAAGGGCCTATATGGGCAATGTTGGGAACTCCACACGCAAGAAACTTGTGCCAATTCATTAAGCTCTAAGACCCGTAGGGGTTGATCTTAATGATTGATTATTCGTCAGTGATGCTTATATAACATTAAATTGTGACTTGCTTATGTGTTCCGTCATGACCAATGGCAATCGAGTCTCCCTTGTCATCTCCAGATATTTTTTTGCCCTTCCTAGGGTAAGCATGAGTAATTGTATATAAGATTTGAGTAAAGCTATGTTTTCCCTTTTGATGTTTTATAGTTTTATTCTTGGTCGTGCAAGTATTAGATTTCGGTTGTGTAATTGGGTATTTTGATTTATGGGTTTTCATCAAGAAAATGGAGAGTTTCGGAAAGATGTTACTTTTACGGTAAATATATTTCATTTGCAAAACCATGATTTAGATCAGCAATCTTTCGATTTTATCTTTTTATGATTATGATGAAAACTGCTTGAACTCACTAGGCGTCAAACCTAACATTTTTCCTTTGTCGGCATGTGGATAAGGTCCGTAGGAAAATGATACTAGCAATATCGCTGATGAGATGAGTGCTAGATAGTTGCACAAGAAGGTTTTAGTTTACCGTTGACGTCTTTCGTATTTTAAAGATAACGACAGTTATTGGGTTATAGTAACACCCGTCTTTAACTTGGTCTTTATGTAAGACTTAGTCTATCATATGTTGGTGTGCTATCAGATTTGATATTCGAGGTATTGATTAATAGAAAAAGGATTTACCTTATGTTTGTTGTATTAATGAAAATTTTAAATTAATCGTTCTTTCCAAATTTAAAAGTGTTACATTGTACATGCATTAAAACCATAAATTCACTGAACCCTATGCTAACCAACTCCTTTCCAAAATAATTATACATCCAGGTCGTCACCCATCCTATATATATTATTGTCCATGGTGTGTTTATTTTAAATAAGTTTGAAACATAAAAATGAAATTTATTCTATATCATAAAATAATAATAATAAATTATTATAATCAAAATATCATTTACATCCAAATTAATAAACTAAAATATCATATAAATAACAAACTGGAGCACCATTTTGCAATGAAAGTGTGCTTTTTATTACGTAAATTATTGAGTAAAAAAGGCATAGATCAAAGTACTCTTGAACTATCAAAAACGGAACATAATAAATGTATGAATACTTTCTAATAATAGGGTATTATGGTAACGTTATACCCGATGATCGCATCCCATTGGTTCATCGAGTATGTCTTTGCTAACGCAAAGCCACGAGCAAGCCTGAAAACTCCAGTACCTCCGACCACCGGCATCTCTCTAACTTCATTCATCACAGGGTTTTGGCCCACGACACTGACGGAGCTGCCATTATAGATGCCCGAGACAAAGTTGTAGGTGAGAGTCATATGGAGGCTCAACGCGTTTTCTTGGGAAGCTATGGCATACAGCCCTTGGGCTCGACCAATAAGAGTCGAGTTGATATCAGGTGTGGCTGTCAAGGCGTTGTCCATGACATAGATCGACCCAAACCCAAACATGGATGCATCCGTGTTGTTGGAAACTGTGGCATTGACGGGTTGGCCTGCAACACGAACAGCAGAGGGGTTGGGTCCACTGGGGCTGTCGTGCATGTAGAACTGTATATTGGTTGTGTTGCGTTTTCTAGCCTCGGACACAGACGCCACCAAAAACGCAACCAAAACAAAGCACAATAGTTTGCTTGTATAAGCCATGTGTAGAAGTGATCTCGAAACTACTGCTTCTCTGTGATCTTGTAATGTGATATAACTTCATCCTCCATCCATACATATATATATATATATATATATATATATATATATAACATGTATACACCTGCATGTTTTTGAATTTTGACGTGGGACTTGGGTTAGTTTGACAGACTTAGCGTCATTCAATATGTCAAAGTCAAACTTCGTTTATGGAAAGTTATATGCAATTGGTCAAAGATCAAACCTGCCGTGGGAAAAAAGTGCAGACCGATGAACACGCAGACCAAAATAATATGGAATTTGTGTTGTTTTGGAAGACAAGTCGGTACCAAACCTAATAATATTCATCGTTTTTCTAGAAGTTAAAAAACGTTTGAATTGAAAATTATATGTTGACCAAAGCATTCACACATACCTAATCAATAAGATGACACTTTTAGAAGTCATATTTTTTTCATTACTTCAAGACAATGAAGTGGTAGGTAGCACATGTCACTTTATGCACCTTATTAGGTCCGTCCTCTACGTCGGGTTAAAGGGTGTTTCAAAGTAAGAGATGAGATATGTGCGGGATCGATTATACGTGTTTACTCTTTTACCATTTATATAAGTTTTAACTTTTAGTCGGATTGCACATGTGTTTTGGCCCGGTTATAAACCTGTTATAATGTTTTAGATTTTCACTTTTTAGCCATTTTGACCAAACTTGAATTCTAACTTCTGAGGAATTGAATGATTATATTTAAATGAATTTGATATTAGTTTCTAGTAATGAATTAATATTAATAATGATTTTAAGTTATCAATTATTATTTAGAATGAAATTTTAGTTACTAATTAGTATCAATTCTTAATTCTTATTTAATATTAATTATCAATTATTTTGAATTATTATTGATTATATTAATTTAGTATTACTATTATTAAATAAAATTATTGGGTCAAATATCAAATATAACAATTTTAAAAATGTTCTATCCCCACCACTTCCTATTGTTTCCATACCCCCACCTACTTCAAACATTAACATAAGTTTATTTTATTTTTCATTTTTAATCCTTTATATTTTTAATTCTAACCCTTTAACTTTTTAAATACTTTTCTTTTATATCCTTTACGTTTTTTTATTTTTAATCTATACTATAATTACATATTATTA